CATTTAGACCTTCAAAGCCACCTCACAATTGCCCCAATTAGGTTCCACCTTATTCTTCTGACTTGTCTTGGAAAGTGCTAAGACATTTAGATACCTTATGACCCATTAAGAGAAAATAGATAGTTGAGCTGTCAAAATTAAACTTTCCAGAATTTTTGCTTCGAAGCCAGAAATATTGCTTCGAACCATTTTCGGAAAACAAAAGTCCGAGATTGATTCAAACCAAAATAAATTGGTTCGAATCCAGAACTCTGAACAAGGAGGAACATGAATTAATTCCAATCGTGGGGAAAGATTAGAAACCTTGGATTAATTTTCTTGCACACTTAGCACAAAAATATATTAAACTCTTTTGAATCATGGTTTTAAACCATCATCAAAAAACAAAGAGAACCTAACAATCTCCCCCTTTTTGATGATGACAAAACCATGCCATAAAATAATAAAGATAATAAGTGTAAGCTCCCCCTCAAAATATGCTTCCAAGATTCAACAAAATTTGCACAAACAAGAAATAAGGATAATTTTCATTTTTAAGTTCCTCTCCCCCTTTTTGTCATTAGCAAAAAGAAATTTGCATTTTAACACAAAGCATAGCATAGGGTTCAAAAACACAAATAAGCAGTACACAAAAGTCAAACATTGTAAGAGTACAAAACACTAAAATTATGATAAGCATTATAAACCAAAGTAAGCACAAAACTTCATAATCATGAATGTTTAACAATTTGCATGCATTTGACACAAAAAAATTTGTGTCCCCTATCATATTGTTAACTTATACAAATCAAATTATGCTTGAGACCTTTTACATAATAAACATTTTTTTAAAAAATTTTCCTTCAAGCTTCCTTGAAAACACAACTTAAGCACTAGATTTTGGTACCCGAACTTTCTTGGGTCCATTTAAGTTAGTTGAACAAGTAGAAATTTTCTTAGGAACCCACTTTAAATTCATCTTAAAGAAATTCTTTCTAGTATAGCATTGATGAATATAGTGTCCCCTTTTTAAACAATAATGACAAATGATACCATCATGAACATGATTATCTCTAGAACTTGATGCTTCTACTATGTCATAAGAATGCAAAGTATTACAATTCATAAAAACAGTAGATTTAGATGAATAAGACTTAGATAATTCAAAAAAAGGTCCAGCTCTATTAAGAGGAAATCTTCATGAACTTAAATTGTTGTCTAACTTACCTTTGCCTTTCACAAAATTGTTCAAAGAACATTCAAGAGAGCTTATTTTCCCTTTTAATTCATCTACCAGCGTATCATACTCTTCAATTAGCTTTTGTTTGCAATTTCTAAATGCAATTGTTGACTCTTCCAAGTTAATTTCCAAATTTTGACTAATTATCTTTTCCTCATTTAAAGATTCTTTCAAATCACTGTTTTCTTTTCTAAGTGACAAAATTTCCCTTTTTAAAGATGCATTTTTTGCACTAATTTGTTTAGTATGCTCATATAATTCACTAAATGCATCTTGCAAATCTTCATATGGCATTTCATCATCACTAGCATGATCAAAATTAGAAGAAGAGATGGAATTTACCTCATCTGCATCATCATTTGCCATGAGACAAATATGAGCTTCCATGTCACTTACTTCTTCACTAGAAGATGAGTCCTCACTACAGCTCCATGTGGCAACCATTGCCTTCTTTTTCTTTTTGGCTTTTAGACTTTTTTCATCATTGTTTGGACACTCAGATTTAATATGTCCAGCCTTCTTGCATTTGTAGCAGATAATCTCATCCTTTTTACTACTTTCTCCCTTTCCTTTACTGCTTTTGTAATCTTTCTTTTGTTGTCCTTGATTCTTCAGCTTCTCTTTCCTTAGGAAACTCTTAAACTTTCGAGCAAGCATTATAAATTCTTCATCATCCTCTTCATCACTGTCACTTTCATCTTTGGAGGAGCTTTTGAAAGCTACAGATTTTTTCTTTCGAGAATCATCATCACTTTCATAATTTTTCATGGCCATTTCATGTGTAAGGAGCTTTCCTTGCAGCATCTCAACAGTCATGGCACTTAAATCATGAGCTTCTTCTATTGTTGTCTTGATTGAGCTCCAGGATTTTGGCAAGGAACGAAGAATCTTTCTGACCTTATCCTCCTCAGGAAGCACCCTATCAAAAAGCTTTAATTCATTAGTGATTTTGGTAAAACGAAAACATGTCTTTAATTTCTTCATCTGATTTCATTTTGAACAGCTCATATTTTTG